ATGTGGACCTCGTGCATGACCGTCTGACCTTTCACCTCTCTGTCTTTTACCTTTTCATGAAGGTATTAGAACCCGTGGGTCCATACACTTGCTTGTTCCTGATACAAAATACTGGCTTGTGTAACTGTCATTACAAGTGCTGTCAAGTGCAGTGAATACAACATGAAATTATATTTTAATAATAATAATAGTATTTGAGATCGAAAAAAAACGAAATTTAAACTTTAGACTGGAGACCGCTTACGAAATTGCCCATATGTGTGTATGTAGTTATTTTAGGGCAGATATAATGTAAAATAAAACAGGACAGCCTGTATTCTGAATGACAGCTGCTTGTATGAGTAGCGGCTCCAACTCCTCAGCATAAAAAAGCCCAAACAAACACACACACGCACACAAACACACCTGGCTAGAGTCCGGGAGCGCCGACACACACTCACCTGGCGATGTAGCGCACAGCATTCTTCCACTCCTCTCCCCGGTGAGATCGCAAAGTGCTCGAGCAGTAAAAAGTTGAAGGCTGCAGACGTGCTGGGACGAGAGGGGTTCTCCTGAGCTAAGTACAAACGAGTCACTAGAACCTGCCGCCTGCCCTCTGCCACTCTCTCTGGGAGCTCAAAATAGTCCACCATGAGAGCGATGTAATTTCAGTCTTTCCCACGACAAGGACTGAGAGGACTCTTGGTTCAGAGCAGCAGAGCAATGACAACAACATAGATAAGGGCAACATTTCTTTCTCTTCTAGCTGCTCTCATGAAAAAGAAATGGGCCTTGACATGTCTTCATTTCTAAACACGAGAAAGACAATCCCACAGGCACAAGAACTGTCGATGCCTGTCAACGGAACACAATCAGACCTGACTAGTCACTAAGTGGCTGTGGTGACTGTCAGCATCTGGAGATTTCATTAGCCTAGATCAGTCTCTCTGATGTCACTGGTGGTCTCTTTCACATCCTGAGAAAGCAGTGAGAGAAGAGAGGAGCCTCCGTCGTCCTGGTGGTGGGTCTACAATGAGTCTGTGCTGGTACGGTGGAAACCGAAAAACCACAAAAGAAAACAACAAAAAGCAAGGACTACAAAGTAAATATATATATATGGATTACATACAAAGAGAAAAAAGAAAGGTCTTGCCAAACAGAGCTGTTCATCTTCCCCGTCACCAGCAGCTGGAGAGCGGTGTGCCCCCTCTCCTTTGGTTCCACCCGGCCATCTGAACCCCACATGGCATGTCTGGGCAGACAGCCACACACCTCCACTGTGGATCTGCTACTCTGCCACCCATAAAGGGCACTTCTACCCCCCGCATCATACCACCTCTAACGCCCAGTGAGGTTACGGCTTCGGCCACCTGCACACCCCCCCCCCCCCCACGCCTCATTTCTACCACTTCACATGAGACACTCGATCACAAATGGAGTAAGTGGTACTTTAAATACACGTTGCAACATATTGTAAGATGGAAACTAGAGTTTAAAACAGTGAAGTGGATATATGTTCTATAATTAGTATGTACAACCAAGCTGAGCCCGTTCGATACTATATGACAGCAAGTGGGAGGCCACTGTCTGCAGCGAGCAGAACCATCACACACGAGTGTCTAATACCACTTTCAGTGCTGTTTGTTTCACAATGAGAGTTAGCTGTAAGCTACAAACCGGAAAAGGTCGATGGACGTTATCCATAAAGTTATTAAATACATGACTTGCATACCTCTTAACAGGTGGTTTCCCCTGCCTATGTTAATCTCTGGGAGGCCGCCTATGTGGTTTCTTTCTTTACAACTGCCTGAAATGACTAATTAAAAGAAGAAAACAGCACTGAGCTCAACGATCACAAGAACAACTGCTGCAGAAAAACAAGAGACCGAGCAATAGTGACATGTTATTAAAGCAAAATGGAGACAGAACACAGTAAACGTCGCTGCTTCAATGGTGAACATTTTTTCGCACAGGGAATTTTGAATCGATATTATTATTAAATGGCCGTGTGGTAGTCGTCTGTCTAGAAGCGTACCTTCGTAGTTAGCTCATGAATTAGTAAGTTTGTTAGTTGGGTGGGTTGACACAAATTTAATGAATCAACAAAATGTCAGAAAAGAGTGAAAAGTGACTGTAACAAGTTCTCAGGGCCCAGACTGACATTTTCAAATTGATTGTTTCGTGGTACAAACAAACTAAGTCAATGCAAAGACATAACTCACAACCGCCCAACTGGACGAGTCTTATAATATATTGTAGTGCTGTCCAACCACTGCACAGCACTTTGTTGTTTTTAAATGTTCTCTATAAATAAACTCAATCTGAAACCTGAGCCTTCTCGCTCCTTCTCGTCTCTGTTGCGAGTTGCTCATGCACAGTACCTGTCGGCCGCTCGTGAGACAATCATTGTGGGTAAAGAAGAGAGTTTAGCTGAAGCTTAATAAAAAGGACTGCAGAGAAACTGGACTTCCTGGTTAGTCTGTATCTGTTTTCCTGAGTTGCTACTTGTTGTCACAGTACACATGAGTCAGGGAACTTGTTCTTTGGCTGTTTGTGGCCAAAAGACGAGGGCTAAAAAAAAGCACTGCACGGTGATTAAAACTGATGAGAATCAGTTCACTTTACTTGTTTCATTTTTCCACTCCCCACGATATTTTGCTACTCCTCTTGTCTTCATTCATAGTTACTGTCTAGAGCTTTGCTTGGGTTATTTAGGCTTGGACTAGGGTTAGATCTTAGCTTAAAGCTAACAGTTTAACCATTTTTTAAAACCACTTGTTGCTGCATTCAGTTTAAGAAGTGAATTGGTTAGAAGCTGCAGAATATTTTCGGGGCAATCCTCACACTTCCAGGACAAAGAAGCAAACCTTTTCTTATGTTGCTACTAGGATTACAACATGGCAGATGGGTCAAAAGCACTTAGAAGTTGCTAAGAAGAAGAAGACAGCACCACCTATTCTCTAACTTTAAAAAAAGATAATTGGGTAACAGGAACTACCTTTATCTGGAGCATAAACCTGCCAAAATGTGGAAAATAACATTCAGTGTTAGCAACTCAGCTAACCACATGGCGGAGAGTTGCCACCATTAACATAATGAGTTATTGATGCCTTTAGCTACAGGCTAACTAATGGACTTCATCCGATGTTCTCATCACACCATGTAGCAAATGGCAAACTAGAGCTGAACCGATTTATGCGACCAATACCGATATAGATATTTAAAATGTTTAAATCCCAATGGCGATATATTATTATAGAAATGTGGCGTCGATGTTTTGTTTTTATTTTGAGACTTTCCCTCCACTTTTTCACAACCTCACATCTTAGTTCAAGCAGCATTCAACAATAAGAATCTCAGCGGAGGTTGTTACAAAAACAAGCCCCGACTTGATCCCTGCCTCCAGAGAAGGAGACCAACCTCAGGAGAGTGAGAGTAACTCCCTGTTACTCCGGCTGTGTGATCCTGTATTACACTCCCGTAATTAATTTGGACAGGCCCATTTATACAGTCCGGACCAGATTAAAAACCACTTGCACAGTGGTGCTGCTTATATTCCGACACTTCTTCCAGCTGCAGCTTTTTTCCCCCTCGTCCCATTTCCAAATCAAACTTCTCTTTAATCAAAGGAAAAATTGATTTAAGATTGCACAAGCCAAACCTTGATGCAGTCACTACTTTCCCAGAGCTCCATGAAAAGGACACTGAGCTGAAGAATGTGCCGACGGTCACGGCCCACAGACAGAAACCAGTGAAGGAGCTGAATTCAGCTTATATGCAAATACGAACACCGATGATCTGAATCAATTAATTAGTGGGTTTCAATTAGCTCATGACCTTTGTTACATCACATGTCACTCAGCCTCTAAAAGACTCTTTCACACCTATTATCACAATTTAACTGAATGAACAACCCAAAACAAGTGTCTGTCATGCTTTAGGAAACAAGCATAAATGATCAGCCATTCATTCGTCATTCTGTGGCCTCAAGTGACTGAAGGGGAAATCTGCCCTTCTCAATCATAACGCATTTCAACTTAAATCATTTGCATTTCATAAGAGACATTATGCTTAAAAAGTATGGCCTAAATGACAACACACACTTATGAACCTGTACAAAACAAGTTATCCACATACCAAATATGATCAATAACCTATATCTGAAGCCATTTCAAGCTGGTTTTATATCATATATAATGCATCCCTACACGTATTAACTTATTTTAACGGTATGTGACCGTTTGTATGTCCAACAATAACGGTGATGTTCTATACTGCCAGAAACTAAAAGCAGCTTGGCAGTTTATTATCTCCAAAACAAAAACATACGTTTCTTTTCTCTTTGTTGACTGGAAATGTTTCTCTTAGGCAAAAAACTTTTTTTACCTTTAAGTTATGTTCTTTGACAACTTTAACTTGTCATATTTATACCTGCTTGTTCCATCACTTCCCTGCATCTATATAGTGAGTAATATTTATTCAAATCCATGGCAACCCTTTTATGAAACAGTCCGAACAAATAAAAACATGAATTCACTTCATAACCAGTTCTTCACAAATAAGGGTGGCTGGACGATAATTCAATAAGATAATTTATCGTCTTTCAATGGAATCATATTGAGATATCATGATACACAGTTATGTCGTCTGAATTGATAATAACAAACACATACTAATGCAAATTTCTCAGAAAATCATATTATTCTGCACTTAAGTACTTCAAATGTTAATACTTTGCAATAAAGTTCTTAATTAATTTAATAATTATAATAGAATTATAATTCAATTTGTATAATTATTATTCATTATTATAAACACAATTTGTTAAGTATTTCATTCACACAAGAGTACACAAAATCATATGGTTCCTTCATACAGACATTGTGATATATATTGTTATCAACATATGAAATTTTGATTTTGATTGCCCAGCCCTATTCACAATCAAGCTTCTGCTGATTGCTTACTTTATTTCTATGGATAAACTAATACAATTATGATTGTCTGTCATTAATACTTACTAAACCCAGGCATTGGTTATTAATCTCCATTTGGTAAGGCGTTGTCATCTCAGTGGGATAGTTTAGCCTGGAGGAGAGAGAGGGCAGTGCAATGCGGCAAAGATCCTCATAGATTCAAACCCAAGGCATCTCATTTAGCATGGCCTGAGATCACTGACCCACCAGGACGAAGAGCGTTTTAAGGTTTTGGTGTACTTTGAATCACAGCAATGTACGACTTATTGTTTGAACTTGAGGCACGTCAAGGATAACATATCCTGAGGGTGAGAAAAGATGGTTTACAACAGATTCAATGACTAATTCAAAGTTTTTTAGAGTGAAAGTTCCTCACTACTAAAGGTGTTACGCATAAGCACAATTACCTGATGATTTTACACATCCCTCTTTTGTTTGTGTCCCCTAACATTTGACATCTAGCAGTCACAGTGAACAACACATAATTTTAATGACAAACCAACTATTTAAATGTCAAGGTTTGTTGTAGTTTTTAGAGTTAAAAGTCTTGATTGACTGTTCAATAGTGACAAAATTGACAAACTTTAATAGACGTTTGCTTTAACTAGCTAGAGGCAATGTCAAAACGTTTTACTCCCAGATATCACGCCAGATATCACGCCAATTAGGGAATCAGATTTGTTCCTAATACGAAACAGGGTACAATTCAGGGCCATCTCACCTGCAGTGTAGGCCCACTCCTCTTAAAATGTTTATTTAAGGTCTTGTGTTGTGTTTATGGTGGCACCCATAATAATAAATATACACAAAATGTAATAAATATATATATTTAAAAGTGTATTTACACTTATATTCTTGGAATATTTATATTTTCTTTGGATTAATTGATTTCTGGACCCTGTAGAAACAAGCTGAATAAGAAAAAGCTCTCAACCTGTAATTAATTGTACATAAACACAGCATAGGACAATGTGTTGTTTTTGTTATGCATAACTCTTAGACACGTCTTTAAATTCACAAATATCAACATAAACAACTTTTTTTGCTAAATGAATCCATGTTAGTGTAAAGTAACGTTACACATAGCTACAAATATCAACTGGAAAGACTCTTTACAGTGAAATTACACAGTTAAAAAGGTTATTAAAACGTTGCATCGGTCCTATTTATTTGTGAATAAAGGTTTTGACAATATTATCATGTGATACTTTGACTATCACAGTGACATTGAAAAGAGACTCTTCCTTCCACCAAGTCAAACTAACTAACGGTTGCAGTCCCGCCACACGGCGTCCACGTTTACAGTCGACAAAGCTATTCACTGTTAATTAGAATATTACAATACACTGCTCTTGTGCTAACGTGCTAGCATGCCGAGCTAATGACAGCTGGTGTTGTGGACAGTAGCTGGGGTACCGCGATAGAGAGCGTGATATTTTAATATCTCCGTTTCTCCAAAGAAAAAAAGAAGAAAAGAAACACTCTTATTAGGGTCGGTTCCTCTTTTACAGGAAGAGCACACACACAGTACCGAGGCTGCAGGCCGGGGCTAAATTAAGCCAGTAGTAATATTAGCTTAGGTTAGGTGAACTTCAACGCTACTGTGCCGCAAGTTTACCACCAATGAACGGGGGGAAACTCACTGACCTGCGGGGCCTAGCGGCTGCTGCTGCCCGTCCTCTCCGAAGATCAGTCGGAAGTCCAGCTCCTCATTCCCGGGGCAGTTCGCGGTCGTCATCGGGTTTGACAGCTCGGGTTTTTCACCCCGCTACTGGACCGTCGACCGCTGGAGCAATGTATGCTCTCCCCTAAAATGTCACAACATTTACCGACTGCCACGACGCCGAACTTCAAACTTTTAGTTATTGTAACTCATACGCGTTCATGCACGAGCTCCCGTGTCCCCCCCCCGGCCCCCCCCCTGGTTTGGACAAATCCAAAATACAGGTCGTCAGCTCCTCTTCCTCTGGCAGTTAGTGCACTGGCGAAATGTGTGGCTTCAACTTCAGAGAAAGTCGTCTGCCTCCTCCGTCTCTTCTTCTTCTTCTTCTTCTTCTTCTTCTGTTTCTCTCTGACAGCCGAGCGTGTAAACAACAAAGAAGTGGCTTTCCCTGCCCGTGTTTAATGTCCGCTATAAAGCTGATGAATTGTCCGTTTAATTGTCCCGCCCCCCCCCCCCCCCCGTTTCTCTCTATCTCTCCTCCGGTCTGTTTCTCTATCACTCTCTCCGGAGCTTCTATCCCAACTTTTACTAACCCCGCGTGACAAGGCTGTTCCAGTGGTGACGTCAGCAGACACAACACGGGCAAGCACACACATGCAAACACACACACACACACACACACAGCTCCTCAGCTATGGAGTTAATAATCAGTGTATGAAAGACAACTTACAGGCCTGAAATAGCCTTTGTGGTTTTTTGAAGGTGTTGTCCAACGTGAAGCTAAATAATACACATATATATATATTGTAATACCTTTGATAATGTCTTATCACTGTGTTAATAAGCTGTTTTGGCAACACAAAGTGCACTAACATTTCAAATTGCGTATAGTGAACCTTTTAACCTTGCAACAACTAGGTCTTACAGCCACTTTGCTCTATTTAATTGGCCCTCCATTTTCTTCGAACCACTCATTAGGCTACATCCGACTGCTCCTGGCTCTCACCGTTGCCTCTCTGTGTGGTTCCAATCCAAACCAGGATTGGTAAATCTAATGACATGATGCACTTTCTACCTTTTGATCCCTCCAGCCCGTCAGCCCATTCATTTCTAATCAGCCAATTTGGTCTTGTACTACTGTACTGTAGGGAAGAACAGACATTTTGAACATAGCTTTTTGGATTATTTAGGTTATGATGCAGCCTAAATAGCACATCAATTATGGCCATAGAAAATAAAAAAAATGCTGTTTGTGTCCTGAGAGCACGGAGTTTAAAATCCTATAGTTATTTGCCACTTTTATCCCTGATGCTACAGGCTTTCGAGGGGTGATTCACACTCAGTTAGAAACATACACTTACTGCCTCCTCAAATGGTCATTTTGCACAGGGTTCTGGACTTGGTGGGACTGAGTGGGTATTTCTCACCAGGACACTACACTAAAATATTGGCCAAAGGTGCAACAAGTTGAGGAGATGAACATGTTGTGATCCAACCATTTCTAAAATGTCTATAGTAAATCTGTATGGCCAGTCAAAGAGATGTTTTTAGGCTGATCCTTAGACCTGCAATTGTCACTTTTTTTTTTTAAATGTAGCTCTGACAAACTATTGAGTAGCTATGCTTGCACTCACATTGTATGTTCCTGCTCTGAGGGATTCCTTTCTGCCATTGGTTTATTCATATCACAATGCAATTTATTACAATTTATTACCAGAGTAAAGGCAGCAAGCGTAAAACTGTGGTTAGAATAAAGCAGTGGTAAATCCATCTGTATATGGGCTGTTCCACCCCCTTTAATCTCTGTGGCCCTAACCAAAGCATCAATCTACTCAGGTTAATCTTTATTGGGTAAGCAACACTGAAGTTGATGCACTCTAAAGCTTTAATGTGTTGCTGCTTTGATGATATTCTTGCCTGACAACATTTGTTTTAGTAGCCTAATAAATTATTATCTGCTTTCACCCTGTTGGAGATATTAGTCCAGAGTATAACATATGCACGCTCTTCTTTGAATCTATTGATGTATAACAAAATATACTTGTATTATTTGCAGCATGTATGGGGTGATCAAATTGTTATTGTGATGCCCTCTCCCTGTACTATGCACACACACACACACACACACACACACACACACACACACACACACACACATTTGCGGCTGATTAAGAATATCTGCCTCAATCAAGCAAGTTTTTACTGTTTCGTCAAAGGTTATTGCAACACTGATAAGCAAAGTCATAACATTGTAAGTTTTTATTATGTGTTTTACTGCTACTATTAATTCTATTATAGATTAATGAAATAAGAATAATATTTTAGGGCTTTTATGATAAACTTGCAATAAAAACAACAAATGAGTACATATATATTCTTTGTGTAAATATCAAATGAACTTTGTATGTTCTTCAAGCTGAACAGGCAGAGTAGAAAGCACCAAAGATAATTCGTCAAGAATCCAAAAAGGTTCCGCAAGAGCACATTTTGATGTAAATCAATCCATCCTCGACACAAATTGCATGCGCAGCAGACAACAGCTTCTTTTTTTTCTGACAGCCACATTGCATATACCTATGCTAGATGCACGTGGGCGTAAAGAAAAGGCGCTCCACTCACAAATGCATTTGAAAGCATCAATATCACATTTCCTGTGGTCTTTATTTCCAAGCAAAAGCACAAGGTTTAACCCTTTTATCTTCTTTGCCAACCTCTGAAGCAATTCTCTCCCAAAATATATATGTTTGTCTTATTGTAATACTGTAAGGGCTGGTGTTATTGCAATCAACGTCCTCTTGAGTTCCAAATATACACCAAAAGCTGTCGCATTTTTTGTTTCCTCTTCAAACTGTATACAATTTAACATTATCCTGCCGTTTTAGACAGCACCCAGGTATAAAAGTGTTCTATGAACAGATGTAAAGTTACTTGACTTAAATAAGTGATAAATCAATAATATTGCTTGTTAGGAAACCTAAAAACAAGAATAGTAGTTATCTTTAAGGACTATACTTTGAGCAACAGTTACTGTCATTTAGTCACACATGATTATTGCATAAATCAGTAATGTCCCACACTAAGTACCAACCAATTCCAGTCTGTATTCAGTTATACTTTTCAAAGAGGCGACTATGATTGTTATAACCAAGGCTGCTCTGAGATTGACTTTCAATAGCAAAACTAATTTAACTGGGATTATCCTGAAAATGGTACAATCACATTAAAGATTTAACTTTTTCAATTATAATAACCATAGCGCCACATGTATCCACATTAATCTAAACAATTCATAATTTCACTGTCTGCATTCAGATTTGTCACAAATATATTCTTATTAAATTATCATATTATTATTATGTGGCAGTGACGTGACTTGACTGCACTTTCTCGTGTGCAGCAAACTTGTCTCCAGACCCACCCGAGTCTAATTCAGGTTACCGGCGTGTCTTATCTTCGCAGATGACCTTTGAAGGGAGAAGATAAAGAAAAAAAATTGTGTGGGCGGCTGTGGATGTGGTTTGTGATATTATGTTCTTGTAGAGAAAGTTATGAAGGGAAAAAAAACAGCATCTGCCCCCACACTGGTCCTGTTTGAGAGGTGTCATTCTTTCAAGGATTGGGGTTTGCATACACTGCAGAAATGCAACGCAACACAGGTGCGATGTTCACTAAATATCAACAAATATCAAATTGCATGAAGTCCTGTATCAGAATGTCAGCTGATAAGGAATAGAAGGCTCACTTTGGCTATTACACTGTTTTGTATACAAAGTATTTTATTCTCTAACATTTGAAAAGTAAAAAAAAAATCTGTAATTTCTGTAAATGATTTGTTATTTGATGTCTTAATTGATCTGTGATTGATATACTACAGTATGTTATGATTAAGCAGCAGAGTGGATTAGTGAAAGATATGATAAATATATGAATGAATAATTAATCTTAGACAAACAATGTGTTTTATTTCTTTTAAAACAACAAAAATTGCGTAAACTTGCCATTATAGGTCTGATCAGGATTTCAGGTTACTTAAAATCTTCCTGGTTGATTAATGCTGCCCTCTTTTGTTCAGTCTGTAAAACTGAATATTGACGTAGTGTGATGAGTGAGTCGGACCTCCTGTCAGGCAATCACAAGCCCAGTACATTAAAAAACGTTACACAGTGTGACCGTGGGAGCTCATTTTAATGTTTACTTTGAAATAAGGTTCATGAAATAAATAATTTAATTTATATGGAAATAACCAGTAAAGGCCAAGCTCAGTTCTCTCTTCCTTTATAAGAAGACCCCCTGCAGTTCATCGGGGTTCCACAGCATTGGTTTGTCCAACACGTGACAGAGAGTCTATTACTGAAAGTGTGTGTGATGTTCTACAGCTGCAGTAAATCAATCAGCAAGCCAATTCATTCAGCACATGGGAAGGTTAGCTGATGGACGATCAATGCTACATGTGACAGCACTGCTGATGCAGACAGCTGTTTTCTCTGCTGGATATAAATGCTATTGTTGGGAAGTTACAATGTGTGGACCAACATAAATGACTGAAAGCATTCCTAGCAGGCAACTGGAGAGAGAGACAGGGCCTCTTTTCCAATTAAATGAATAAAGGAAGGAGAAACGTGAATGGATTTGAAGTCCAAGCATTTTTAAACAACAATACTGCATCAGTTCATTGAACATTGTGTAATAAGTATGTTCAGTCTAAATAAGCAACTGCTGAGGAGATTAATCTGCAAAAAGATTTTCATCAGAAGATAAGCTATGAAAAATATTTTGTTTTCCACATTCCCATTAAACCATGCTTTATTTTAGAGCTTTTGGAGTATTAGAACTAAAGAGGTTTTCAATTTAAAACTACTATTTGTAATAATTTCTTAATGCCAAAGATATTAATTTATATGAATTATTATACTTTGAGAAGTGACCAATATTTTTAACCAAGCCTATATGTGAATGTTGTTGTGAACAAAAAGGCTTTCGAAACTTTTTCGAAACTTTTTTTCAAAATATTAATGCTAATTAATTAATTATGTGGCTTTTTACTTTTCTCAATTTTTGTTTGTATGATTTTCATGGACTCTTGCATTTTTTTCCATTTATGTTTATTTATTTGCTGCCGATTTTGAATAAAATGTGAAAAGGAGAACTGTTATGTTGCGTTTCTATGTACGTCATCACTCCCCGCCTACTTGACGTCATCAACATTCGCCAAGAAAGCATGGCGACACTGCTGTCAAGATGATCTGGATACTAACAGATTTACAGTGTTTTTTGAACATGTAAAGTGACTTTTTAGATTCACAGTACACTAAACTGGCCTCGTCTTCATCTTCTAGTCGTGTATTTGCGTTTTGATTCTCGTCAGCTGACTCTTGGCTGCTGACAAGCGAGTTAAACACCAAAATGCACTCCGTGAAGGTCGGCTATTTGGCTTCGGCTGTGTCGCGAGCTCTCTGCTCAAGTGGAATTTACTGTCGTGAGTTCATTAAAGTGTCTGCCTGCTGTCGTGTTCATCGGTGTGTTAGTCAGACTCGTTATTGTCGAACAGCAGCCACGCCAGAGGAGACAGTTATTCGTATTCCGCGCTCCATGCAGATGCGCGTTGAAAATGTAAAACAGACTCGAGGCCAAAACAAAATCAACACCATCAAAGCTGGCAAGCTCCTGATCCAGAGCAAGAACCCTGATCTGAACCAGTCTGTGGGATTCACCCTTGGGAAGTTCGAGCAGCTCAGTCTTTGCTCTAAAGGATGGAAGCATAACAAATCCTTCGGTGACTATTTCACCATCAACAACATCAAGACTGTTGCGCCCTTTGTTGCTGAAAATGAGGATGTCGAAAAGAAAGCATCGGTGACTTTTAACAACCTCCACATCTGCAAGGAGCTGGTGGAAGCTTTGGACAGTGTCAACATCACCCATCCTACCACTGTACAGCTGCAGACCATCCCAAAGGTGATGAAGGGTCACAACGTCCTCTGTGCTGCGGAGACGGGCAGCGGAAAAACACTGAGTTACCTCCTGCCTGTTCTTCACAGACTGCAGGCCGATAAGGAGTCGGAGATGCACGCTGCTGAGGGCGCACAAAAGACTCGTGCCGTGGTTCTCGTGCCTTCCAGAGAGCTAGCTGAGCAAGTGGCGGCTGTGTCCAGGACTTTGTGCGATCCCTTAGGCTTGGTGACGAGTACTGTGGGTGGGGGGCGGGGTGTGGGACACATCAAGACGGTCTTTAAGAGGAGTCATCCAGATATTTTAGTGGCCACGCCGGGTGCTCTGGTCAAGGCCCTGCGGAGACGCTGCGCGGACTTGAGCGAGCTGAGCTTCTTCGTGGTAGACGAGGCTGACACCATGTTCGACCCCAGCTTCTCGGACATGCTGGAGAACATCCTGCTCCACACACGCATCGCCAGGGACCCCAAGGAGACGCGAGGCCCGGGCCACAAAGCCCAGCTGCTGGTGGTGGGGGCCACCTTCCCTGGGGGCGTCGGGGAAGTGCTCAGCCAGGTGACCGACCTCGGCAGCATGGTGGTCATCAAGAGCAAGATGCTGCACTTCCTCATGCCACACGTCAAGCAGACGTTCCTGAAGGTAAAGGGCGAGGACAAGGTCCTGGAGCTCCACCAAGCCCTGAAGTTGCTCCATCGGGAGAAAGGAGGGGGCGCTGCTCTGGTGTTCTGCAACAAGTCTGCCACCGTCAACTGGCTGGGGTACTCGCTGGATGAGATGGGGGTGCGGCACGCGCGTCTGCAAGGGGAGATGCCCGCTGCCGTGCGCGCGGGAATCTTCCGCTCGTTTCAGAAGCCCGGACTGGTAGATGTGTTGATATGCACAGACATCGCTTCACGTGGCCTGGACACATCCGGAGTGCGCTTGGTGGTCAACTACGACTCCCCTGAATCCCACACGGACTACATCCACAGGGCAGGGAGGGTGGGCAGGGCGGGAGGGGTGGTGGACGGGGAGGTGCTCAGCTTTGTCACTCATCCGTGGGACGTGGAGCTAGTGCAGAAGATTGAGACGGCTGCACGGAGGAGAACTAGTTTGCCGGGGATGGAGTCTGAAATACGTGAGCCGAAACCCAAAGAAGTAGAGGCAGCGGAGTAGTTCCTCTGTGTTTGCAGGGTGTGTATGTGTTGCGTTGGGATGACAAACTCTAAATGTACAAAACGTTGTGAGCCAGATTTGAATTTGAATTACAGAGGGCTGTTTTTCTTTGGCCACTTTGACTTGAAAATATGTGCTTAATGTCACAAAATGTTTTATAGCCTATCTTCCCTGATGAAAATGTTTGTGCAGATTAATCTCCTCAGCAGTTGCTTATTTAGACTGAATATACTTTCTACATAATGTTAAATGAACTGATGCAGTATTGTTGTTAAAAAATGCTTTGACTTCAAAGTAAAATCCATTCACATATTTTCCTCTTCTTTATTTATTTAATTGAGCAATTTAGAGAGGAGTGTGATCTTTGGACCATTTTCTTTGTAGCAAGAACATGACTTTATTTAGTCTAACTATCAAAGGTGCAAAAATGTTTTTGTGCAACAATGACATCAGCGTCTCCTCCCAAATACTGAAAAACGTAATTGACCTGGTTAGTGAGCGTAAAGTAATTATCAGTGAAACTGTGTAACAAAGTAATGTGATGACTGTGGAAAGCTTGTCATTGATGTATACTTTTTGTAATACAACCTGTTTGCTTCTTAACTACATTTAACCATGTATAACACACAGAATGGTATTGAAATAATTTATCCAACATTGCAACAAAGCATGCACAAATACATTATATTTGGTCTGATCCGTCTCCTAAAACCTTTAAGACTTGTAAAAATGTGTCAATAAAAATATTGATATTGTCATGTCGAAAAATCCTGAATTTTCTGGAGATCCACTCTCACCACAATTCCTAGTAGTAGTTTTTTCTGTAATTTGTACTGCATGTCTTTAGCCACTAGGTGGTGGCATTTGTCTGATTTTGACTTATGTAAATTGGCTGCACTGTTCATATGTCAAAACATGTATACTGATTTTGTGCTCAATACAAATGCTTACTGACATACTGGAAGTAATATGTATAGTATAGTGTAGTAGTAATGTTTTGTGGGTCCAGTACCTTTTCATGTTATCAGTACAGAAACACTTCATGGAGTTACAGCACTAATCATTAATTGTGAAGTTGAACACCTGACCTCTCTTCTGTTGAAGTGGTAGGTCTGGTTTACTTGAAAAGGGATTCATGCCTGCGTGTGCTTGTTGAAAGGAAACCGCAAAAGTGTCAACATGAAAATCTTTGGGATCTTGTATCGAAGGTAACAACTTCTCCTTTGACCATGACTTTATGGTTTTGGTAGGTGTTGTTTTTGGCAACTTTTGTAGTTTTTAACATGAATTATTGCCACATGACAAAGACTTCCAAGTTGACATTTCTGCCTGGAAACGGCTCTTAATTTGAAAAGGCTGTTAGTCACTCGGTCATGTGACATACCTGATGATGGAGTGTTTCTGGAAGTATAGATTATAGAAGCAGACAGAAGGACAGACGTGTTAATGGCTCTGACAGTAACAAGGGGCTTCCATCAGAATGTCTGGAATCCAGCTAAGATTGTCCTGCTCCGGCTCGGGTCAGCATCTCAAGCTTTGCTCCACCTTAGGTTCACATTTCAGCCAACTGTACCCTGACAACAAGGACCCAGTATCCATTTATAGCATGTGGAGCAAATGCCTCCTATGCCTCAGTTTATATTTTTGTCCTGCTTCACCTCAACCGACCCCTGCAAAGATAATAATCTCTATCAAATGTCGTTCTTCCAGGGAGTTGCTGGGCCCAGCATTAAGTATTTCATGGCTGAAATAATTTTAGCGCTTGAACTTAAAGGGCCACTCCACCCATTTCACTCATGATCGGTTTAGTCAAAACAAGGAATACTTTGCAGCATGTGAAAACAGTTGTTACTAATCTGTGGCTCGGGAGGTGCTTTTCTTCTTGTTTGTTGACTTGGCTATTTAACCTTCACTGTGCATAAAGATGTATGTGTAGACTTTGACACTAGGAGGCTATTTCATTCAGGACTAAGACTTTGAGAATTTGTAACTAATCAAACTAGTTACACTAGCCTATATATATATATATATATATATATATATATTCCAAGCAGGGTACTTTTGTGTTAGCTCAATACTAAAGTGCTGGAGTATCCCTTTAGATACTCTTGGTTAATGGGATCCCGGTTGGTTGGACAAAGCCAGGGAGAAGCATACAGTTGGCTGGTTTGAGGTCACTGGTTCTCACTACCCAGCCTACAGTAAAACAAACACTGGGTCGGCCCATGTTTGAGCAGGTGGTGATGTTTGGATGCCTTTCACAAGGAATTCTCCTTTCTTTCTTCCTTTATGGCTTGAGACCAATACTTAAGGGAATTTACTTATAACCCAGACACAACATGATAATCTGGAGCAACCGATAATAATAAAAAATGATCCTGTACCACACGATATTTATATATTTTTAAAAATATAAATAAATATCACTTAATTCCCCCTATTTGTAGTCTCCGTGGACAACAGGGGTGTGTATAGATGGACTACAAAGCGTACGGTCCATTAATAATGACGCATTTCCTCTTTGCCCCACCGTAGGATTATGTCCCCCCCCTCCCTCCCCATTTACACACACATAGTGCCGCTGCTCACACACTGTCCAGCCACTTGAAAATTTCCCTCAACGCAGAGGAAATTCTGCTGCTGAGAAGCGGGACTGTCGGCTAATGTGCGTCTTCTCAGTGCTGCCTTGCTTGGAATGCCACAGTAGCGGACCCGAAGGTAGGTTTACAACCCTGTAATCGGCTTATTCTGTTGCCCATCTCGCCCGCAGCAGACGGAGCGATCCGTCTGACCTTCTCTCCGACCAAAGCTTTATAATGAAACCCCACACGCTGTGTGTGTGTGTGTGTGTGTGTGTGTGTGTGTGTGTGTGTGTGTGTGTGTGCGAGAGCCCAGCCTGAGTCCCCAGCGCGCTGGATGGGAGCCTCTGTGAGCGCTTTACATTTCGGTTCCTCCGGACTTTTGGATGGATCGCTGCTGAAAAGCCTAAATTGTGTTTCAGAGGCTGCGATGCTCGTTAGAATCAACACAAACTTGTGGAGCCTTCACTGGTAGACTTCTACAGTGGCATCGGGGGTTGGGTTTTTTGGCGACTTTACAGACCACGGGGGCCGGGGCGCTGCAGGGGGTCACCCGGTGAGGAATTGTATTTATTTCTTTGGCAACCCCGTTGTGTTTTTTTTTTTTTTTTGAAGCCGCAGGATTCAGCGCGTGGACAACGGAAGGCTTGGCTGTGTGGTGGGTGTGCAGAGTCAGAGAGGCACGAGGAGTTCACGGAGGGGCTGGTTAACATTGCACTGTCCAGGGGAAAGCCAGCCTCCGCCATGTTTACGTTACCATGCCATTCAAGCCGCCACTAATGCCACAGTTTACAACTTTTGTTTGAATGATACATGTCGTCAGGAATGCCATGTCTGACACGCGCACATTAAAGGGCGGCCACCTGTGTAACGCGCGTGGCTGACCGTGTGAAAGAGCACAGCTCGTGAAAGGAAAACCCACACGCGCTATAGCTTCACCACACCGTTAAATATATACCGTGCAGGGGCGGTGTTACCAGCCGTGCGCGTTGATTCCAGCATGTTTTCGATGCATGTGGTTGCCACGGTCATGGTGACAATGAGAGCAGAGCGGCATGGGAGGGGGATGTAGCATAATGTATGGCTCCTCTGCAGCAGCAGCTATCCTTCCAGGTTGTGTTGCATGGCTTGTGGTGGATGGCTGCCACACCCCTTAATAGAAAGACAAGGCTCTGATTAGCCTGCCATTCACATGCTGTATCTGTTGTTACATTACTGCAGGGAATCTCATGATATTTAAAAAATGTGTCCCCCTATTCGCCAGGAAATTGAGTAGAATGATCACTTCTTTGTGCTCAAGGATCAATAAACTCCATTCTCCAAAAAGGCATTGAATTTCAGCAAGGCAACCGGCGCCCTGTGTGGGACTGAGAGCCGAGTATAGGTGACGGGTCATATGAGATGGGGCCACTGGTGATGAAGCCAGAGATGTTGCTGTGATGTTTGATGCGCAAGTCAGTTTCTTTGGCAGTTTAATGGGCAAAAGTAAATCGTCGCCTGAAACCTCCCATCGGGTGTGCACACACAAACACACTCCCCCTTTGGCTGCACAGACCTCGGCTTGTCAGGATAAGACACATGACCTTATAGGCTGCAGGCGGCTCCAATGTGTGTGTAATGCCTCAGGAACGAGAGCCGTCCTCTGACTGGTTTGTTACACATCCTCTAGGCATGTCTAACACCCGTCTGTGTGTTGGGGTCCGTTTGAGTGTCGGGACAGAATTTCTTGTGGGAATGGTTGGCAGCTATTAAATAGATTTTCTCCAAAAAATCTATAGTGTATAATAAAGGTGTGAAGAGAATTGCGGCGCCACGAGAATGTCATCCAATCCCCTCAAGTTGCCCTATGTTAAAATGTGTCCTTTCAAAATGGCAGCTCTCGTCTAATGAGCCAGGCCCCTGTTTCTTCTCCGCTGGTCAGTTGTTGCTTCCGTTTCATCTCGGTGAAAATGTCATTTTCTCAAGCCTCATGGTTAACCGTCACCATCGGCTGCTGCTGCTTAGTATGCGGCTCTGCCACCAGCGACGGCACCAATCATTTATTAGACGGACCAAACTCTATCTGGCTTTCCTGACATAAAAGCAGCAACCGAAAGCTCTTTCATTATGTCAGCGACTGCACTGACCTTTTTGTAGAACGTGTTTATGGTGGCCATTATGCTAATGGTAGTTTGAAACCAATCTTCTTGAAGCAGAGTGATCAACAATTACAGTCTTTACTGAGTAGCTGTTCAGTTATTTAGTGCTGGAATTAGTTGCAGGGAAGTAGAGGCCGTGTGAATCTTCAGCAATGTATACCTGAGTCTGCTCAAAGCAACTATTCTTTGCATCAGTGGAAGAACTTAAAACCAATCTGTAAATTACTGTTCCAGGGTAACCTACAGCGTAACCCCTTGCCCTGTTGCCATTGAAACATCTAACATGAAGATACTAACGCAAAACAATTGACTGATTCCCAAAGTCCTGCAGCTTGGTCTACAGCTGTGGGCGACTTTTGATGGCCATGTGCTGCTGGCCTGTAAAGACCTTCAAGCCCGATCATCTCCTCCGGCATGGGAAGGGTTACTCGTCAGCAGCACATGGCAAATTTATTGATCCGTCCCTTTGTTCTGCATGAAAACAGGCCTTCGCTGTCAACGGTGACCACAGAGAGGAAGTAATAAGCAACCCATAATGACAATTTAATGTCGAGAGGGGGCCAACCGGTTGCTGCTCATGCTCAGCCAGGTAGCTCTGCTGCGTACAGGAGGTACAGTCAGCAGGCATGTGACATGTTATCTGTAAGAGACGGTGAGGGCTGGTGGAAGAGAAAGAAAACACTAATCTTGTGATCTGTGTGCCTATTTTATGCAAAAACTTGTGATGACGAGGCTTTTTTTCATGCAGGTGGAAGGAAGTGTAGGGGACAGAATTTAAGCTGTACAGAGAAAAGTCTGGTTAAATTACATCTCTTTGACTTCTCTTGTTCAGAAATCAACATTAGATGCTGTTAATACATCAGTAAACGGGTGAAGAATCAGTGCCTGCTCTGCTCGTTTCTCAGTGCAGCTCTCAGCTGGTCACCTGGAACTCATTCCTTGTTATTTTTATGGCTCTCGGAGCCTGAAACAAATGTTTGGAAGGGGTTGCCAGGTTTGTAACTAGGCATCAGCTGCCAAATTGGCAACCGAAGAGCACACGTAATTGCCA